CAGGTGAGGAATACTAGTGTGACTTGAAAGAACGGAATCTACTTGATGAAATATAAACTAGTCTTTGCTTCTAAATGAGACCACCTTTTGAAGAGGTGACAGACTGATCAAACATTTGTTTTCCAAAATGCTGTGTAGAAGCAAAGCTTGATAAATGCTGGGTTTTTCTAGAATGATTTTTTAAAACCTCTGGTATATTTTCTAAAACACGTAAAATGATGTTTGTAAACCTATAGGTTTGTGTGTACACACTGTTTTTACCAGTGCAGTGTTTTGTTTTTGTTGCATTGACCACCATTATTCTCTACTGTCCCGGATTCAAACCCAACTGAAGATGGTGGTCCCAAATAACCTGGCTTCTAGAAACTCAGGCTTACAAACCTAGCTTTAGTTTTATCCTTATGTAGACAGATAACACGGGTTATTTTTACTCATATCAGCACAGGGTAATTCCTATGCGAACCGGGCATTTAGCTATTACTATTTTAGTTGCAAATAATGGTCAATGGTCAACAAGTTCATTCCTTAGTTGAGTTAGTTACGTGCTAGAATTGAGTGTTTCATTGATTTTTCAAGCATTCTTAAACAATTAAGCATAAACGTTTATATTTATATATAATTATAAGCATCTTCTGCTTCAGGGTCTGGAGGTGGAGAAGATCCTGAGATTGGGGAGATCACTTCTGACACAACCGTCAGAACTGGCAACGATTTGGTCCTGGAATGTTTTGTCACGGGCCTTACCTCTTCAACTGTAAGTGTAATAGTCTACTTACCTGTCGGATAGTAGACACAAACATGTTTTTATGTAAAGTTTATATTCATTGTATCACTGTCGCTATGTTCTGAGTTGCATTGTTTGTTAGTCACCCCTTTATCCATCAAAAACATGGATTCCTGAACTGCCTCAATGATGTCACAGTGTTCTCATATTCATGGCACATCCATAATGTAGAAAGCCAATAATCCTGGATAGCCGAACGGGTACAGCACAAGATTACGGCTCAAAGGTCCTTGGATCGGATCCCATCAGATTTTTTATTATTTACCTGTTTTCTGTATTTTTCTATTTTTATCCATTTAACTATTTTGTTCCAATTAACGCAAATATTTACATGATTTATTTACAACAGTTTAATAACAACAAATAATTTTGGCAACAATTAAATTTTTTTTTTTTAATAGGGTTAAGGTTAGGGTCACAATGCACCATAAAACAGGAGTTTCAGGCACGCAATTTGTATCAACCAATGGGATTTGGGAGGTATGCAGAATGCAGAAGGTTGCTGAAATGATGTGTACGCAACTGTGTATCTGCATATCTGCGCTTAACAAAGGTGTCACTACGCACGACTTAAATGTTACGTTTATAACCGTAGCAACAGACCTCAGATGAGCCCAGACGCTCTGTGGCTCTTGTCTAGGATGACTTTTTAAAACCTCTGGTTAGTTGATAAAACACGTAAAGAGGTGTTTGTAAACCTTTAGGTTTGTGTGTACACACTGTTTTTACCAGTGCAGTGTTTTGTTTTTGTTGCATTGACCACCATTATTCTTAACTGAAGATGGTGGTCCCAAATAACCTGGCTTCTAGAAACTCAGGCTTACAAACCTGTAGTTTTCTCCTTGTGTAGACAGATAACACGGGTTATTTTTACTCATATCAGCACAGGTAATGCCTATGCGAATCGGACTTTAGGGCGTTTAGCTATTACTATTTTAGTTGCAAATAATAGTCAACAAGTTCATTCCTTAGTTGAGTCGTTACGTGCTAGAATTGGGTGTTCATTGATTTTTCAAGCGTTCTTAAACAAGCTAAACGTTTATCATTTATATATTTATTAACGGTCTTCTGCTTCAGGGTCTGGAGGTGGAGAAGATCCTGAGATTGTGGAGATCACTTCTGACGCAACCGTCAGAACTGGCAACGATTTGGTCCTGGAATGTTTTGTCACGGGCCTTACCTCTTCAACTGTAAGTGTAATAGTCTACTTATAGTATACCTGTCAGATATTAGACACAAACATGTTTTAATGTAAAGTTTATATTCATTGTTTCACTGTCGCAATGTTCTGAGTTGCATTGTTTGTTATAGTCATCTTCCAACGCTATAATAATCATAACTGCTCTCAGGTTGAGTGGCAGCTAGTGGATGGGAGTGACGTTGAAGTACTGACCCGCGGCGAAGACAGAATCATCAGTGATAGAAGATTCAGCACAGAGATGGACACTGATGGAGATGAGGACATATTTACATTAACGGTTACTAATATCAGAAATTCAGATGAAGGATCCTACAGATGTGAGACAACCAATGATGATCCTGTAAGCGAGGATGTGGAGGTCACTGTAGGAGGTGAGGAAACACTTGAGCTTGGCACATTTTCTATACAATCAGGTCAGATTCACAATCTTGCAAACTGACATGACGAGTTTCAGATCTGGACAGGCTCTATATGCGCTGCACCCAAGTATTAACTGCATGATTGTTGACACCTGTTTACTGATTTGGTGTTCATGTATAATTTAGAAACCTCTATAAAAGTGGCCTTTGAGGGCCAACCTGAACATAGTCTTATTATCTCGATTAGAAACTTTTTTGTTATACATTGTGGTATTATAGTGTGAAATCATATTTAAATTGCATTTTTCCCCTTTGGCAGGTGGAGGAGGACCAGAGATTGTAGTTTTTAGCGATGAAACAGATGTAAGGCTAGGCAGAGATCTCACACTGGAGTGTACTGTTACAGGACTGGGTAGCAGAAACAAGGTGCAGTTTGCTCTGTCAAAGAATTATTATTTCTATTCGATTTTTTTAGTATTTTACTCTGGCTACATTTTTAAATGATTTATTAAAATACTGTACGTAGATGCTATATAACTATATGCACTTGTAGGTCGCCTTGTTTGAAACTTATTTAAGCTGCTCGATCTGTTTCGTATTAAATATTTTTAACACATTTAACCAAACGGGGCATCGACTAGTAAGGAGTGACTATTTCGATAGTTGAGCCTTCCACGCATGTGCGGTTTTACCACAACAATCATTTGTTCTAAAATTTCAAATCAGGTTTATTTTGGTTCCCCATTATTGGGGTGATATATAGAAAATCGTGTCTACCATATACCTGATATGGTAGACGTGATTTGTTTAGCACAGTAAAGATAAAAAGGGAGAGTGCTGAAAAGATGATTATTTTATATATGGGTTAGCGAATTATAAGAAAGGTGGGTCGGAACATGCATGAAATTTCATGAACAGTGACTCAAATGTTACTATACCAAGGAGCTGTTATCATGGGCAGCTTAAATGCTGAATTCTGTCAAATCAAACATATTTAAATATGTACGTATTATACAGTATAATGTTTATACGTTAAAAAACCTCTTCTTGCACTAGGTTGAGTGGCAGCTAGTTGATGGTTCAGATGTCACAGTTCTGACAAGCGATGAGGATCGGATCACCAGCGATCGCAGAGTGTCAACCGTGCTTAGCTCTGACGATGATGAAGATACGTACACGCTGACAGTAACAGACATGGATCTAGATGATGCAGGCACATATAGGTGTGAGATTACAGGCAGCAACTCAGTGAATGAAGATGTCACGGTTACTGTAGGGGGAAGTAAGTTGAATAGTTTATTGTAGATGGTCAGTCATAGGTGGTGTCTTTATTTATTTCTGATATTGCTCGTTGTTGCTAGGTTTAATACACACCTAAGATACACTGGTGGTGCGAAGGTTTGGGCTAATCCAGAAGTAGGGCCAATTCCATTACCTGTTGTGTTTCGGAGATATTAGTCTTGTCTAGTTAAAATCACTTAATCAAAATGAATATAATGGTCCATAATATTTCTATTTTCTTTCTGTAAAATAACATTTTAAAATGAACATTACACTGGAAACTACTGGTGTTTAGAAAATCTGTACATATGTACACTATTAATAATCGTTAAATCACTTCCTGGTGATATATAGATCGTATGGCACACTGTGCCTGCACATAATATTTTCATTTGACAACTGCTTGCAAAATTACGATGGTTATGGTAGCAAAACAACTATCCTGTAATAGCTCTTAATTGTATCCCCCGCCGCCGCGACGAAGTCGGCGGGGATACTATGGTTTCATGTCTGTACAGCCGCCGCCGCTCGGTCCGCCGCAGAGATTTTCCCTTCCGCTCTATAACTCGACCCCTAATTGACCTAGCCAGGGAAAAAATTAAAATTTATTTTTCGGTGGGCTACTTTTCAAGCTCGCGTGCATGAAAATAGCACTCTAAAATTTGGTTTGCATTGAACTCTATGCAAATTTCCGGGGTCTCTTTTTGGCATTTCCGGGGCTATAAATCGCCCCGAGCACCCGTGTATTTTTTCCACTGGACCTAGCGTGACCAAACTTGGTCTACTTACACATCTTGAGGAGAAGGTGGGCAGCATACTAAAACCAGGTCACTGCGACCTTTATTTGACCTTTACCTTGACCTTGATCATATTTCCCTTCCGCTCTGTAACTCGGCCCCTAATTGATCGATTCAGCATACAGGCTTATAACGACCAACAACAAGGTCATCTCAAATCAACAACTAAGGGTATCACACCAAATATGTTGTTGTCTCTCTAATGCTGTCATCTCGGTTGCATTTTGACACACTTGCCCTAATGAATTTTAAATGTGCATAAGTATTTTTGCGCATAATATTATATGCTTCTTGTGATTCACTATTACTGGTTAGTTGAGATCTTCTATAAGCAGATCGTTTTTTCGCATTAATACCAGCTACTTGGTCAATGCGTTAATGCACTAGCAAATAACTAACTTGAGCTTGTCAGCAAACGCTTATGAAAAATATACGCTGCTTTAACATACGCTACTCGGGCCTTACCGATACAGTTTCATTACCACCTCCACCTTCTTTCATCACTCGACCATTTTTTCATCCATTCCTCTCTCTCCTTTTTACTTAATATACATTTTCTATATCTTGATCTCCTTTATTTCATCTCCCCTTACTTGTGCTAGCTTGGTTCATGCGACTCTCTGGAACTCGTAG